AGAGAGAGAGAGAGAGAGAGAGAGAGAGAGAGAGAGAGAGAGAGAGAGAGAGAGAGAGAGAGAGAGAGAGAGACTTTGTGGGTCCATTAGGGCTTCGTGGGCCCACTAGGGCATCACCACACCACTTGAGAAATGTGCAAAATGTACAATGAACCTCCCGCTAGAACATGGTCAAATGCACCCGCCACACTTTTGTCTTTTTCACATTTGGAGAGTGGTGTGGCGATGGAAATGTACAGGTTGACAGCACATGCGGCTCCTTACGAATAGATTGGAGCATTTTGTCAAAAAAAAAAATGAAAAAAAAGTGGTGTTGTTTTGCCACTTTGTGTCTGCGTCCGTCAAGTCGTGTCGAGTCTGCGTCGAGTTGAGGGAGCGTGTGTGTGTGCTCTCACTCTCCCTCTCTCTCTCAGCCTCGCTGCTCTGCCTCAGCCCTATCACACGTTCAGACAGTGGCCTGGGCCTGCAACAGTTAGGCGCGCCCCGACTACCCATGTAGGCTGTGACGTGTTCCCTTCTTGCTGATTGGCCGAGAGGCCAGCTTCCACGACCAAGCATAGAAGAGCCTGGAAGGCTCTCGGAAAACTCTGATGCTCACGAGTTGGGCCTTTTGTAACCAACCGGTGTGTGATAACTGTCTGGCGCCCACAATGCAGGAATGACAAAGTTGCGGGGCCCGTGTCAAATTCAGGCCCGACTTCACTTAGAGCGGCCACGCTGCTTGCCGGGGGGCCCTTGGGCATTGGCAGGCCGCGGCCAAACGGCCATTTGTGAGGGCTGAATCCTCACATATTCTTATTCTCCTTCTCCTTCTCCTCCTCCGTCTTCTTTGACTTGTTCTTTCTTCTCCTTCTTCTTCTTCTTCTTCTTCTTCTTCTTCTTCTTAGTCGCCGTCGTCGTCTTCTTCTTCATCGTCGTCTCCTTCTGGTAGTCGACTTTCCCTTCATTGTTGTTCGTTTTTCCGTTGTTGTGCGTTAGTGAGATATCTCCTTACATCCAGGAAGTTCTCTTACCCATTCTTCTCAGTTGCAGTGGAGATGCATTAAACCATATTCGTAGGAGAGAGTCCGTATGCTTTGCTTCGTTTCCTCATAAAATGCACTGCTTGTCGAAATAAAAGAATATGGGCGCAGGTACAGTAATGGACAGACATTCAAAAAGCCACCCGAGCATTTGAAACATACTGCTTTTCACAGACCAAACATGGAGATACGAGATGTATTCATAGCTCGCTGAACAAACATGCAGCCTTTAAATGATTAATTTGTCCATTTCGATGCATCATACTAGGAAATTCTTACCTCAGTCAGCCACCTCTCCACTTGACCTCCTGCTGTCCTGGGATTGAATATTCGGACAAAGCTCACTCTCTCACCCTCGGTGCTGAGCATGGCAGTAACGTCCAAATTGTTCTCAAACTGAAGGTGGCTAATGCCTTCAAATATCTTTTTCAAGAACGGCTGCACCCTCAAGGGATCTTTGGTCTCTGCAAATATTTCCAGCAGCTCTTCATTCGATAGGAAGTAGAACCTGCACCAGGCCATGGCAGCACCAAAATGGAACAGTGCCAGCTAAGGGGGAGAGTTTTCCTCAAACTGATGTTCTTTTTGCAGGGGGGCAAGTTCGTTTATGTGAGCTTTGAGTTTCGGATGTGAAAAAAAAACAGGCCTCTGCAAGTTTGTGCAATCAGGCTCATCTTCTTCTTACTTAGCATGCATGCAAATAGGTTCCATTCCTCACTGGTGAAATCAAACTCGTCTTCTTCCCACTTTGTCATGCCTGCAAACAGCGGTGCAGCAACTGGCGACATGCGCCCACACAGTACTCAAGATATCGTAACCAGATATGAGTTCTCTTCAACTGGCTATGGCGACGGGGCGCCCACACAACTCACTGTTCGCACTCTGGATCACCCTGGATGTCCCACACGCAACACTCAGTATCATACACAACACACACACACACTATGCTACAGCTATGGCAGCGCTAGCTGCCTCTACCCTATC